TTAAATGCAACACAATAGAGAATTTTTTGCACAGGGAGGAAAACCAAGTCTTAGTTTTTCTTTGAACTCTTTGTACGTGCACTGTATAGGTTTATCACTTCGCACAATATAAATCTTTGTCAAATATTTGCAACGTTAATAAAACCACGGTCGAGTTGATATTTATATTGAATTTTTGGAGTTTTTTTGCACAAGGAAGGAATGTGTCTGGTCTATAGGAAATACTGCTAGAAATGCTAATCTCAAATTTAGTTATTATTTATATAATAATCACTCAAAATTATTAAACAAATTATTAAACAATTGAGCCACTACCAATTATTTGTGTCAAAAACCATTAGTTTTTTTTAATTCAAGTTTGAAAAGCGATCAGAACTTAAGCTTTATAAGCTGCTGTGGGAAATTACTTACTCTGGTACAACGTCGATTTGGCAACCAAAATGGCTACACAAACAGTGTTCTATCACTATGTGATCAATTTTATTATTACAATTTCTGTTATACTGATGAAAATTCATTGATCACATAGTGATAGAACACTGTTTATGTAGCCATTTTGGTTGCCAAATCGACGTTGTACCTAAGTAAGTTATTTCCCACAACAGCTTATTGAGCTTAAGTTTTGATCGCTCTTCAAACAATTAAGCATTAAGGATCATTTTCTATAATTAAAACAAAAAGCAAGATTACATAACTATTTATAAATAAATAATTTGGGTTTAGGCTTGAATACCAGAAAAGTTTTTCTAGATAACAATAACATCGTGCACGAAAAACCAGGTTACGACCCACAAAAGATACCTAGGCAATAAATAAGATTTATTAGTAATTCCGTAAGTTCTTATAGATGACTCGATGACCGTTAACCGGCGACCCGGAAATACTTTATGTATCAGCTAAATGAATTGCTCATCGCTCGTTTAATAATATATCACGTAGACGGACGCCGATGTCATTATTTTATCGACAATTTTAGACGTCGTTAAACCGCTTTTATCTATTTTATAAAGCTCCGATTTGCAGGGTCTTTTTATTAGATGGATGAAATTTAGGGGCTATAATAAGGAAGTATATTAAAGCGTAAAGCGGACTTTGGGTTTAGCTGTACATTTTGAGTAAGGTTTTATGCTGGTTTAAGACTAGTATTACACTAGTATGCAATCCAAAACTCATAATATATAATTTATTATATATAAAATTCACATATTCTTATTTCTGAGCAGACTCTCCATACGCCACTATCAACATTTTAAATATGTTATTGTTAATCATAAGGTGGGACAGGGCACAAATGTCCCTGAATTTCAGTAATTATACTGTCTAAACCAAATTAACTACATCACATCACATAACATGCATCAAACAAATAACTATCGTGCTATGTATAAATAATCAATAAAGTTTACAATTGACTCTCAATTATACAAATGTTTTTTAACTTCCCGTAGGGTAAGTTATTGTAATGGGCCGAAAATCGGAATTGAAAATTTTGACATTTCTCGACGTTTTGAAGGTTTCTGAACGTTTTGGCATACCTCAGAAAAAATGGATGTGTGTGTGTGTGTGTGTGGTGTGTGTGTGTGTATGTATGTGTGGATACAAATTTCCAGTCACGTTTTAGGGCGCACGGATCAACCGATTTGAATGGTTCAAAAACATTCGATTCCTATTGATTGGAAAAGAGCTGATTAGTTTTTGACAAAGGCAGGTCCAGCCGTTTCGGAGATACGGAGCAAAGAGTGCAGAAAATAGAAATCGAATTTTTGAGCGAACGGAGTATCCGATTTGAATGATCTAAAAAACATTCAATTAGTAATGATTGGGAGAAGTGTTTATTAGTTTTTGGCAAAGGCAGGCCCAGCCATTTCGAAGATACGGAGCTAAATATGTAAAAAATGGCAGTTTTTGAGAGAACTAAGCGTCCGATTTAAAAGATTCAAAGAACTTTTGCTTGTCTTAACAAAATAATTGATTTTGGAAAAAAAATTTTGTTCCAATTTTTTTTTTTTTTTTTTTTTTTTTTAGTATTTTGTATATCGAAAATATTTCAGATTTTATTTTTAATTCTGACTATAGTTCTAATATACTTTAGAAATAATTTCAACTCTGCAATTCGGTTTATATAATTCTTATAAATATTAGACAATGTTACTATATTTATAATAATCTATTTGAAAACATTCAATATTCCTCGAACATTTCGTTACGGTGCGGGAAGTTCCAGCAATTTGCCTCAAGGCACGATGCCATAATTGCCTCAAGACAGAATTCCACTTACAGCTAGTTCTACTATTGTTTTTAAAGCTGTTATCTGCTACTTTTTACCCTATTGACGGTGTAAAAGGATCAGCCAAGTCGCAACCAAATTCAATGTCTTATTTTTATTTGTAAAAGATTTTTGCAAAATAGTAGCTACATTTGGCTAAATTTTTCAACCATTGCTAAATATAATATGCTAAATACAGTATGCATGGGGCATATTTTTACAAAGATCACACTATATATGAACTTGATCTGGAACTTGAAATAAATTATAATTTTTGAGACACCAATCTAAATTGTTATCAACGCGTATATGGAATTCTGCATTGCAGCATCTTTTGCAAATGTTATTTCTAGAACATATATTAATGATATCAAATAGAACTGTATTATGAAAGAGTATTGTATCGTCTGCGGTAAATAAGTCTGAAACTTCAATAAACCTTCCATAAACAGGCGGTTTTCCCATTCAAAGTTCTTAAATAGGTACTCTCTGTTCGAGTCGCATCGAGGGCTCACACGAACGATATTTCAGAATCTGTCTAGACCCGGTTTTGTGTTGAAACTTTTGATGGATTGATACTTTTCACTCTTAACGTGTGCCAGGCACTTATAATTGATTTTAAAGGCATGTCTTTTCTTCAGATCACTTAAATCGGTTTCAAACGTGCGTTGAAATATTAACCTCACCATACAGCAAAACTCGTTCACTTTTGATTAATAATTTTAATAATTTAAAGAGTAATCCTCTTTGGACTTCAAAATAATCTGACTACATCAATAAGAATGTTATATAATATATATTATATATTAATTTTTTTATTTTACGTATCTGGTAATTCTAATATTTTCGTTCCTCAGCTCATGTCAAATATCTTATAGTATAAGCTACTAATGAAATTTTAAGCATTTTTACACATATTTCATTAGACGAATAACACGATGCCGTCTAAAAATCAGTTCGACTAGGTACACAAATACGTATAATGTAATCCCAAGGTATTATAGCCAACCAAGTGTTAAAATAAATATGAGGACATATAAGAAAAAGTTTGTTTGGTGATGAAATAAATATCGTCCTTTGTTGGTTTTGCTTGTGACCAATCGAATAAAATCCGATATGAGTTTTTCTCGCCTTTTGTCATTTTGACTCTCAGAGAATTGAGTGGAGTGACTTTTTTGTCTCCTACGCATTATTACATTTCTGTTCTGATCCAGGTCTCATTTCAGATTGACATGTGGAAAATTACTTTTCACAAAAAAATGCATTCATTTTGATACAGCGAATTTAAGAAGATTATTTATTTCAAATTTATTTGAAATGCATATAAATTAATGCAAAATATAGTAATTTGAAATGTAAATTTTATATATAATGTGAAGTCCAGTCTTCCACCATGCATCAGGGATTCAAGGTATCTACTGCGAATCCAGGTTAGATAAACGCTTGAGATAACCTAATATCAAGCAGTATGGTGATCGGTTTTTACTTGAAAATATAAATAGCAATTTGTTTCTAAGTAAAATTAGCCTTTCGTGGCAATGCTGTAATATCCAAATTTAAAAAAGAACAAATTATTTGGATTGCTAGTTCCGAATATAATAGGAATTATAAGTATCTATATCATTTCGGTCATTATACAATCGTAAAATTCACGTCGAGTATTTTGTAGCAAAACAAAAATATTTTCATTACCATCTCTTCTTTCGACGTAAATTTTATTTTTGACTCTAGTTACTCTCAATTTAGCGGACAAGGTAAGAGATATTAAATAGCAATTCAGCCGAGAAGGCAGCTGGTACTCAAATCGCACGTTTACAAAGCGCTCTCTCCTGCTCATCAAATATTAAATGCCTTTTAGCACTACGATATGCCCAAGAACTTGTTAAACGTCTCGGTTTCGAGAAAGCTCCACGACCACGGGATAAACGTAAACCAGGGACTATTTTTGAGATAACAGGTCTATAAATATTTTTGCTTGAAAGCTTTTTAAGCCGAACGTTCATTAATAAGGCCCCGAATTTTGTAAAAATGATTATAAGGAAAAGAAACTTTAGATTTAGTAGGATGTGTTGGATAGGATGTTGATAAAAAATTAGGAACAACATTTTTGCAAAATCATGCACACGTTGTTCAATACAAAATTTATACGCTTATAACAAATAACTTCAAGCGTATTTCTGATTTAAATATAAAAAGCTCAAAATATATAGAGTATAGATCATTACTTATATTGGTAATTTTATTCATTCTATACTTTATGATTGTGTAGTTGAAAACAAAATTCATACACATATTTATGAATAATATTGATATACAAATTTATTATGAATTATTTAAAATTGATAATTAAAGTTATACATTTTTTACATAATATATATTTTACATATCTCAAGCAGTTGTGAATGATATAAAAGATTATGAAAAAAATATTTATAATTATATTATATTGTTTATATTTTATATTTATAGTTCACCTATTTCCTTTATATATATATTGAATATTACAGTTATAAAAGTTTACTTTAAGCTCTCAGTCAAGAGTTGGATTTTTTTAAATCTGATTTAAACATAAATATAGTCAAATTATATTATGTAAAGATCATTACTTATATTGATTATTTTATACATTCTGTATTTCGTTTACTTTTTAGCTGCTGAAACCAAATTATTTATTGAAATATGAATTTTACGAAGAATTACAAAGAAAGATTTTGTAAATTTTGTGGTACGTGTAAAAAAATACTAAAAAATTTTTAATTTTTCTATTAAGGTTTGTTTGATTGAAATGTGCAGTGTTTTTTTTTTTGTAATCAATATCAATTTGTTTGATTCATGACATTTAATAATTTTATTTCAATATGTACAGACATTTATCTTTTATGAAATAATTCAATGTCGCGCTGACCTTGATTTTGTATAATCATGCAATCTATCGTGAACTTTTTCACTATTTCCTTCAAGTGCAGGCACACTAATTGTATGTTGAAATTTTATGATCTTATGACCATTATTTTTGAATATATCAACAATATCAAGCTCTTCATATGACGTGTCTAGGTGGGGTTTCGAAATTTCCTTTTGTTTTTTATAAACTGTATGTTTATAAGGGGCATTTGCAATTATTGTGTATTTTTGTACACTGTACGTATTTTCTTTGATAGATTTTTTCTTATTTGTGGTATCTTTTTCATCCCAAAGATTTAAATCGCCCGTGTAGACTGGAATTTTTGGCAATTCTTCACTTTCTTCAATATATTCGGGGTGCATGAGAACTTGAGAGTGGACATTGCGTTCTAAGGCGTTATCACGTCTTATAATTTCAGGATTTCGTGCGGAAGATTCCTTCATAAACATTTGATTTTCTTCGCTATCAAAAATATTTTTTATGCCATAATCGTCATTAAAAGTGTCATCATACTCGTGCATATTATTATGTTTGCTGGACCACTCATCGTGTTCTGTAAAAATTTTTAGTTGTGCAAAACAAATACAATTAAAATTAAAATTAAAAAAATATATAAATTTGTCAATATTACCATTTATTTCTTTATGTTCGATAATATGATGATCCTCAATTTCATGGTATTCCGTGTGCAGTTCTTTAGTCAACGTGATAGTGCAATCATTAATTTTGCACTTACGGACATCTTCGTCCAATTTTGTACAGCTTTCATATAAGCCTGATAACTTGAGTTAATTGCATGCGATTGATGATCAAAATTCAATCGAAATGAAAAATAAATCAATATATTACATTTATTAATATCATGACAAAATTGTTTAGTGCAAGACCGAATCTTCATGAGAAGAATCGGCCAGTGAAACGCAATACATTATTTTCTAATTAAAAACATTGACAATTCCATCTAATGAGAACATTTTTTTTCTCTAAGTTATAAAATACATTTTATAGGTGCACTACAAAAAACGCATACATTTACAGATACAGAACATATTATAATGCATTTAACTAAATGTAATAGACAATTTTTTTGTGATAAAAAGGGAAAGAATTTGATCATTAAAAAAATCAATTAGTTATATGTGCGAATAAAAACGTAAAATTTACAAATTGAATTTTGAAAATTCAACCTATAAATTAGAAGTAAAAAACAGTATATCTTACCTTTTCGACTATCGAAAAAAAACTTAAATCTTGATTATCACATTGTAGCAATTGCGTCGTAGTTTGCTTCAGTAATGGAAGAACAACTAGAGCTACTTCTTTACGCAACGATAGAATAACATGATCGTTTTTGCAATGGCCTATTAAAATCGGTTTGAAAATAAATCGATTAAATATTTAAGATTTTGTGCTTTATTTAAATAAATATTTGTGGTTATACATACCACTAGCCTCAGATAAAACGACACAAACTGCAATACAAAATAAATGCAGCAGCTTCATGGTTTGTTGTCGATTATGAAGTCATTTTATGACATCGAATATAAAGTCATATATAAAAAAAATAATTTCATGGCATATGTAAAATTGAATTGATTCCAGCGTGAGTTTGAAATAAATTAATTTTACATAAATCTGCAATATGCTTACTTAATAAAATTTTTCTGATAAATGTCTTATTGAAAACAAATGACCTATTACGTTCAGAAGATATTTCAGATCTGATGTTTTTAAATTAACTTTGAGCTTGTGGTTTTCTTTATAAATATAGCAATAATGATACTAATGATTTAAATATGTTGGGTACATAAACATGTTATATGATAAGTAAGCATTACTATTGTTTTCATCCATATCATAAAACATGAAACATAAAAAAATTTCAACATAAATTTTGCTTTTTGTGTTAAAATTATTATTTCATGTTCACCATTTAATTATTCATCGCAATATTTTTTTATTTCATTTTTTTTATTTATATTAATAACAATCAGAACAATGGATTCGATTATCAACTAATTGTAAAGATTAACTTTTGATAATATTTTTTTTTTCATTCAAATCTACCTGATTGAAGTACTAGACTTTTTCAAACAAACGCCTTATATTTAACAAATCATTTATTTTGGTTGTCTATACATTTAGTGCATTATTCTGCTTCTTTCACAGTTATAATCGTGGTTCTTTTAATGAGATCTACTTCATTGTATTTTTCTTCATCTAATTTCAATAATTTTATTGCCTCTTTCTTTTGCTTATTTGTCAACGATATTCTGCGATTGCTGAAGCCCACATATATGTCACCTGATATTTCAAAGTATTTAACACATAATAACTAAATTTATATATATATATATATATATATATCTAATTTATTACTTATATTTTTATTTTGTGTTGGATATAGAGTTTGGACATAATTATAAACTTAAAATACCTGGATGAATATGACTCTCAATTCCACTATCTTTACTTTCTTCCATACCGCCCTCTTCACCATAATTTGGTAAAGCATATGCACCTTCTGTACCAGAATTTTGTGTATTAATACTTCCAATTGCTAACGATCCAGGTTTGGTATCTTTTGCCCTTGAATCATCATATTTGTAATTCTCATTATGATAACCCCCGTAATGATCTTCTGTGTCATATTCTTCTATGCTATTATCTGAATGATAACTATGATGGGCATAGTTTTTACTACTACTATCTCCAGATTCTGAATCATCAATACCACTGCTCTCATAACTGACATCCGCTAAAAAATTTAATATATTTTGATTAAAACTAAAACCTGATATCAACTCAAACTGGTACTCAAATTGGACTGAAAACTTTCCGTGCAAAACCAGTTTTAATTTCAAAATAGAATCACACAAAACCAGTAGCTTAAAAATATAATAGCACAAAAATGTATCGCACAAAAACGGGTTTCATTGAATATATATAAACATACACATACGCATATACAATCGTGAAAGTTTTAATTTTCTAAGTTTACCTGAATCTAAGTAGTCGTAGATGCTATTTAGGTAACCTAAAATAATAGAACATACATGAATTACAGTATATTATATTTGCTGTATGAATTTACTAAAATATTAGGTTTTAAAAATGTAGCAAATGCAATTGCAGTATAGAATTTTAAGTAAAAAATGAATTTGCAATCAATAATTTGTAATTCATTTGATACTTTTTAATTACCTAAACTTGTTTTCCTCTTACTGCCTTTTCCTTTTCCTTTCCCTTTTCCTTTTCCGTGACCATCTATAAATTAAAATACATAATAGTCAGTTCAAATCTGTTGCATTTTTGCGAAATGATGGTTTATTCTCGAATCCATAAATTAGTGTTAAATTTAACTTTGAATCTGAATATTATATCTATAGAAGTTTAAATGATCATTACAATCATTTGAACAATAAAATGCAAATATATGTTCAAGTATTTTATCTGTTCCCAAGTATATGTAGAAATCATTTCGTTTTTAAATACTTAATTTTATTTTTATCTAAATGAAAACGAGTATTAGCAACACCAATTGCGTGTTTCGTAATTGATAATCATTACCTTAGATTCCACTATCAATTTTTTATAATTTACCTAAATTTTCATCACTGCTATTAGGATCTTCATGACTATGAAGAACAGCAACTATTAGAGAATAGAAATAATTAATAAACATAATAATAAAATGTTTTATATATTTAAGCTTTGTATTTTACTATACATGGCTTTGGGGAAAAATCGATTATTTATTAATTTGATCTAGGCAAATTAAACCTTATATGACAGTAATTTTTTGATTTTAATAATCCCATGATAGTGTAAATGAAAACGTTAGTCGAAAAATAAAATAAGACTCTTTTATCGGCAAATGCCTAGAGCTTAGCTTGCAGAATCTAGATTAATTATGCAGCTCATTGTTTGAATTTTGTAGGAATTAATCTAGTAACAATTATAATTATAATATTGATATTATAAATAATATATATATATATATATATATATATATATATATATATATACATTTACAGCCAAAGAATTAAATAAAAAATTAATAAAGCAGTGATTTGAAGCAATTGGTGAGAAATTACCTTGCTGCAAATAATGGGCTTTTAGCTCCTCGGTTTGATTTCGAAAATTTGCCAGTTCCTTATCTCGCTCTCCTTAATAAGATAAATATATATTACAAAACGCGATGTTATACAAATACACATAGATACTCAGAATAAGATATTAATTTTACTATACCTGGATAATAGGGTAATGCATTGCTAGGGTAAAATCCTTTATATGGAACAATGCCTGTAACAAAATGAAATATTTCATATATATTTTCGAATTTTTCAAACTATAATGTTTCTAATATATATATATATATATATATATATATATATATATATATATATAAGACTTTTATAAAGAAGGTGAAAAAAATAAGAAAAATAAGAAATACATGATAAGTTTATATATATTTATCATGTATTTATTTAATTTATTCTTTTTTTATTTTTTTTTTCACTTTCTTTATAAAAGTTTTTTACCATAGTTTTAAAGGAAAAACATGCATTAAATGACTTTTTGTGGAATTGTCATTTTTGTTTTTCATCAGAAATAATACGCATAATGATAGTTCAAAATAATTGATAGTTTGAATTACAATCGACAAAATATTATAATTCATACAGTAATTTATTTTTTATATATTTGAAACTTAGTGCAAATATTATTTACCTGGTTGCGAACCGTGTGGTGGACATCCTATAAGAAAATATTTAATCAATAATAATTTTCAAGATTATATATACATATATATATACATAATCTATATATATATATATATATATATATATATATATATATTTACCTGTGCAATCTTTGTTATATACTAGCAAAATCCAATAAGGTAAAGGAGGCAATTCAGCCTGCAATTAAAAATTGTTTAAAATTATAAATTAATTTTATATTGCATATTACATGCTTTTGTTAGTATATCATGCAAGATTTTATGAATTAGGTATTAAATATCTCTGTAATTATTTTAATTTTTAGAACATTCATTGTGCATTGTAGAATCTTAATTTAAGAATTTAACAAATATATTTAAATAGTAATGCATTTAAAGCAATGCTATAATTTTTACCGTTAGGAAATTAATAGTAAAACATACTTAGTACACCTGAATTATATTCCTGTTTCTGAATAATTTAAATCAATATTTAAAATTAAAACCATCTAAAAAAATCAGTTTTAATTAAAAAAAATTTTTCAATTTGTAATTGATCAAATTACTTGCAATAAATGTAATATTTATAAATATTATATTAATGCACATTTATAATAATATTATTCTGTAGATATTACTTGTTCTTCCGCAGCTGCATACGATATGACGAACAAACTTTTTATTGCGGGCAAAATTAATAAATGCATCCATGTTCTCATTTCTTGCAATGCGTTCTTAGATCTAAAGCAAAACTGGAATTTTTAACTACTTTTTATATATCTTTTAAATTCTTTCTATTTCTAAAGCTTTGCTTTCAGAAAAAAACGTGCACACAAAAAACAAAAAAGTTATTTTTATATTGACATTAACTAAGAAACAACCTGAAGCATAAATTTTATAAACACGTTTTTTTAAAAAAAAAATAACTGGGAACAAATATTACACATTAATTTTCCTTGTAATACAATTATTTACGCTTGCTCATTAAGAGTTTTTACATCATCGATTGCGATATTATATTTTATGATCGAATATATACATGTTTCGACTTTTAACCAATTAAACATAAATCATGAACATTATTTGATAATGTCACAATATTTTTATCATATTTTTTATATTTACATATTTATTGGAATGGGAAACTATTATTATATATTTATTCTTTTTAATAATTATTTAACAATTATTGATTATTACGAGGGAAACAAATCAGTAACATCAGATAAAAGCAAATTTATTTTCAAGGATATTATATGTAGATACATAAAATGTTCTTTGCAAGTAGTCTGTTTGCTATTGATAATACTAATAAAAAATATTATCATTTATAAAATATAATTGTATGTTAAATTTTAAAACATTACTTTACCACCTATTAATTAAGGTGACCATATTTTTTAAAGTAAAATCCGAGACGGAAATTTTTAATTATGCTAATCCAGTCGTTTATATAACAAATGCTATTCAAGGATACAATAAAAACAGCTTTTTTAAATGATTTTTTTTATTATAATTGCGGGCTTTTAGTAAGAAGTTTTAACAAGCTTCATACTTTGACTATTATATGCAATACTTCTTTATCTATGATATTATAACTTATATTTTTTTATCTATATGTTCCATTTTCTTCATAATTAATTTGAAAAAAAATAGCATTTGTTAGTTTGTTTTCTTAATTTTTATTAATTTAACTATTGATTTTCGAAAAACCGGGACTTCCGGGCCAAATAGAAAAATCCGGGACAAATATTTCTTTAAGAAAAACCCGGGACACAAGCTGGAAATCCGGGACTGTCCCGGACAATCCGGGACGTATGGTCACCTTACTATTAATGCAAATATGAAATTATATAAACGTATAGATTTTTGCTAAACTGATGTTTGAACTAATTAATTAAGTGAAGTTATTATATTTTTAATGATAACTATCAAAATTCAAATTCATTGTTTTTCTATTAATTTAAAGCTTGTTACACAAAATAATATATAATCTTCTATTATTATATTTGATACAACTGAAATCGGCAAATAAAAATATTAAAATATACCATTTAAATAAAGAATAATTTAAATGTAATACTTTGAATGAAGTACTCAAATATCAATAAAATTAGTAAGACATTTGTAAAAAAAAATATATTATCGTGCAATATTCAACTATGTCTTCGTATTACTTAACTGAATTATTTTTTTTCAATTAGTGTTTTCTGTATAAAACTGACTTGTGTAATCAATCATAATTTTTTTCTTAAACTTTAAAATATCTGAATTTAAAAATGATTTGAAATCTTATTCCACAAAACCAGTTTTTGCTAATGTTCATATAATTGTTTTATTTTTTATATCATTACAATTGTTTTAATGTAGACCAAAATTTCATCCAACAAATATGTGTTAATTTAATTCCCGTTACAATTCTTAACTACATTATAGTACACACCAATGATACAATTATTCAAATTATCTTTCAAAAAACTTAATTTAAAATGAATATTAATTTATTATTGCCAAATAATATAGTGTTGAATTTTGCGGTGCTGTTGGATTTTTAAGGCTGCGGGACCTGAAAATTAAATAAGCACTAATAAAAAATGAGTATTAAATTGTACTATTTGATACAATTAAATATATACAAAATATAAATTGAAAATTATATGTGAAGTTAAATGTTTACTCACTCTAACCGTTTTTTCAAGCATGAATAACAAAAACATGTTATTAAACTATTTTTAATGCATTTAACTTCAAACTATGATCCAAATCTATTGATTACTACATTTTAATATATAAGTATATATAATTACCAGTTTAAGTGCGGACTTTTCAGGGTCATATTTGATATCACTTGGAGGAATTAAATAGTACATTTGTCCACTTGATTCTATTTAAAAAAAATATTTGGATTATTTTATGGATGCTTAAACAATTTTTGTAATTATTTTGATCATATTCAATAATCAAATATTAATAGAATTCTAAAAGTTTTATTATGTCTAGTGATGTGATTATTCTCAGACACAAAAATAGTATTTAGAAGTATTCGAAAAAAATTATATATATATATATATATTGATATATATATATATATATATATATATATATATATATATAATGTAAAATAAAATGTGATTACCTTCTGTCCCGATTTTATTTAGTTGCCTGCTTCTTTTTTGTGGAAACCCTGTAATATAAATTATAATATACCTTAATAGCAAGATTAATTTTGATATGCATTGCTGAGTAGTATATTAGATTACCTTGGATAATTAGAATGATTTTTTAAAAATTAAATAAATTTTAAATAATAATAGGTATGTGTGGAAATAGACAATAATACAAACATTTTTTTAAATTTTTGTTTATATAGATTTTCATATAAATAATTTTGGTTTAAATGCAATAAATTATTTGCAAATACTTAGAAGTTTTAGATTGTCTGTTATATTTACCTTTCATAAGGGGCCCATAAGGTTTTGTAGATGCAGATGCTATAAAAATAAACAATATTTGTTGCTAAATTATTTTCACAAATTATTATTTTTTTAAATTTTAGATTATATAGATGTTCATATAGGACAATTCTAATTTTAATTCAATTAGAATTACTCTATTAGATCAATTATCAATTTACCTTGATGTGGGAGCACATATGGATTTGTCATTGGAGGGGCTATAAAAATAAATAATTTTTGTTACCAAATTGTTGTCAAAAATTATTTAATATATTCAAGTGTTCTAAATATCTATTTACAATAAATGAAATTAAAATTCGAAAAACAGAAATTAAATGAACAAGAATATTAGGTTTTTATGTATCTTTTTGAACTCGCTATTATTTTATCTGTCTAATAAAAAATTATTAATTTTTTAAATTACTCTACTTTATTGTAGCATTTTGTTCAAAAGAAATATTTTAAATAAATTGCTCGAAAGTATATTAAATGTTATAAATGCGCAATTAAGCTTGAATTTCAATAAATATAAATAAATATGTAATTTACCTAGTGTCTGGAAGGGATGAGATTTGTATCTATCTGTAAAAGAATCACAGTCATTATTAAGATATATACTTACACGCATTATCAACTAAATTTTAAATTTTCATTTCATTTTTGGTGATTATTATTCTACGTCCATAATATGATTTTTGCACTTACATGCTGGCGGCTGAAATAATGGCCCATTTGATGGATCTAAAATAATAAAATAAAATAATTCAATAGTTGATAAGTGAAAGAACAGGTGTCGTTTCATAAATTTTTAATTAATTAGAATTACTTCATAAAAAATCTAAATTTCCAAACGTTTCCATACTGTGATATGTTTCATATTAGTGTAAAATTTCACAAAATTAGTCTCATAATTAGTGCAAATTCACATAATATATATATATATATATATATATATATATATATATCAAATACGTTTAGATGCAATAATTCATGACAGTCTTTTTGGACAATATTAAAATTTATCAAAATATATTTCGAACATAAAAATTCAATGCAACCGACAATGAAAATGTTTTACATTATTAGTAATGAAACACAAATATACACTCAAACACAGAAGACATAGA